TGGCACGATCCAGTCGCACCCAAACAGTTCTGATTGATTAAAAAAAACTCGATCCGGAAACCATCTGGGCCCGTTAAATACTAACGGGGGAACGTTTGTTCACGTACTGATCATCCAGTCATGGAGCCGCTAACCGGGGTTTGGGAGATATATTTTAACGAGGTTGGTCGTGAAAGCCTTCGCAGGCTTCAGTGGTGCGATTTGCTAATCGCTCAACTTGCAACATGTACACACCAGATCTCGCTCGTATTGTCACTGACATCAGTGTCAGTGTTGACATCAATGATCAGAGGCTCTAGCGTCTTCCACTTTTGCCCAGGGCCCCGTGGGGCGCTAGGTATACCGTATTTTCGAAGGTTTGAGGCTTCAGCCTGAGGACGACAAGGTCTGCAAGGTGCGTTTCTGAGGCTGCAAAAACAGCTGCAACACAGCCCCTAATAGGTACAGCACTGGAGGTTCTACAGCATTGCCATGAGTTGGCTGTAGCCCTGCTATATCGAGCAAAGGGTATTAAACACGCCAGCTGCAGCTTGAGCCTGAGGGTCAGGACACCATGGCCTCGTCTCACCCAAAGAAGCGCGTGCTCTTTGTATGCAGCCACAACTCAAACCGTTCCATTGCAGCACACGCTGTCGCTAGAAAGCTCCGTCCAGACCTTGAAGTACAGAGTGCAGGCACGGCAGCAGCGGGGACTCTCAACCCTGTAATGCTCAGCGCTCTTGAATCCAGGGGGTACTCGACAGAAGGCCTCTACTCCAAGGTCAGTAGTTGCTATTCTCTCATCTTGTTTTGTTGCATTCCTTACACTCTGAGCTCTGCTTGATCTCTGCTGGGAACGTCATTCTGGAAGGAGAGGCAATTGCAACGTTAATATGGAGGCGATTGTAGCTGATGATGTGAGAATGCCCAATGTTTTCACTTAGGTTTGTGAGGGAGAGGCCAGGCCCGGCAGTCCAAAGTAGTTGAATGTGCAGGCACTGCTGATCTTTCAATTCATATGCCACGCCTGCCGCCGCCTGTGATTACGAAGTTGAACTCAACTATCTTAATGAAAGTTCGATTGTCTCTTCCAGTGGACATCTGATGTCCGCTGCTCAGCTCTTGTTCTCCGGAATCCAGCTCATTCTTCCAATTGCAGGGGATTGATGATGAAGCTGTTCAGGGACTGAACAACAATTGGGACACAATATGCACCATGGGCTGTCTGGTAAGTTCCATGAAACATATTGTGCTCTTGTTCCTTTACAATCAGTCCATCCGTGTGCTGCTTTGTTTTACCGGACCCAAGACAGCAGACCGTAGACACAAGAGTGGTCCTGGGGTTCTCCGTGTTCATCTTGTGAGCAGATTGGTTGAGTGCGCATTGTATGCCTGGTCAATTTCTTTCAGATCCTCACCTTTATGAGAGTTCTTGCAAGCAGGCGTTCACCAACTCTAATGACCGATCTGCTGACTGGTTGTCCATTTTTATGTGCCAGACTAAGGGCCTTCCCTACGACCCTCCCAAGTCTACGGAGGTTTATGATTGGGCACTTCCTGACCCAGCGGCACAGCCGGAGTTGCTTGACATGGTGGTGGACGAAGTCATCGAGAACGTAAAGAACATAAAGTGATGGTTCTAAAAGGCCGTAGGGAGGAATAGTCGGGTTGTTGCATACAAGCCAACCAATGACACGTCGGGCGCCCTGACCACTTTAACACACAAGCGAGTTGGTTGATGTTGGTTTATGTAGAGTTTCGGATCGTTGTCCGGTTTGGTTCATTTTTGAACTTGGAACCTTTTTCAGTCAAAGAAGCTATGTCGAGTGCCCCAGAAAATAGACAAGTGCCCTTCGACCAGGGACACAAAGAGCTCATGTGACCTGACAATCTGAGAATCAATATATGCATGCTTTGTTTTAATTGGAGAGAGGAATTGATTATGTATGCAAGTTGAGGCTTCAAATTACCAACGTTGACTAGCACGTGCGGCCCGCAAATCACTTCCAACCACATGCACTTGACAGTACGCCTGTGCATATCACATTCATTATTATAAGCAAGTTCGAAACTCAAGTTCGATCGAAACTCAAGTTTAGCATGGGGAGACATGCAATGATGCAGCATATTCACTAATAAACATCGAAGCTATACCGTCACATTCAGTGACAACAATATATGCAGTCCGACTTATGTCGATCATCATGTGGGAGGATACGGTCCATGTCCGACAGACAACTCAGGATCCAATCATGTGGGGCGTAACGACCATGGTCTTGCAAAGTTCAATAAGTTAAAAGTCACGTCCAATGGGCCTGATCGGAATTGTGCTGCGTGCTATTAGAATCCTAATCAAAACGTTGAAGGTTTTTCACTTTGCAACCCACTATTGTACAAAGTACTCTGCTTGGTGGTTTGACGACGAGTTAGCAGTTCCTTGATTACAGCTCTTTGCGAGCAGCCTGCCGATTTGAGTTAGAGAGGGAAGCTTAAAAAGTTAGATGCGTACGTTAGTCGCAGACCGCGACATTACATTTAGCGAGTCACGACAACTATACAACGTGAGTCCTGGCTTAGTATGTAGCTGTGTAACTTGACTAACTTTCTAAGCTTCCCTCTCTAATTCAAGTCGGCAGGTTGCTTGAAAAGAGCTGTATCTAGCTCTGCACGTACACTGACATGATCTATCCGACGTGTAGTTCAGACAGACAGTGTGACTACATTCATAGCCACACGGCCGGACCCTAGAGAGGTACTGAAGGCTCATCAGTTTCATTGATGATTGTACTGCCTACAACAAGAATAAAATCTGGCCAACGCCCGGAGTAGGTCAGCCGCGCTCCACTCCCTGTTTTGATCAGTCTACAAGCTGCATACTGAGCGATGGCTGACGCACGGTTGCCAAGTGCGATGCTTAGGTGGATGCAACAATGGGTTGCTTGACTTTGGCCGCCTCCTTCTCCGCCTGCGATAAAAGCCGGCCCTTCTCCCGCTTCTCCTTCCGTTCACTGTATCTATCTACCAGAAACTGCGCATGCTCTCTCGTCAGCAAAGTGAACTTGTAAAACTCTTCCGCAACGTCGACAACCCGATCTCGCAAGCCGCTCGCTTTCATACGACCCCGCTCGTCAAACTCTGTCCACGCCTTTGGAACGGAAGACTGGTTGGGGACGACAATCATGCGCATCCACCGACCGAGCACTCGAAGAATGTTGACGACGTTGAAGCTTTGGGAGCCTCCATTGACCTGAAGAGAAAAGATACCAGATTTAGTATCCGTTTTATAATCTTAAGTAAAAGTTCTCCAAAAGTTGACGTTGTTTGCACTTTCGAACCTTGAAGAGAACCGAATTCACATGAAAAGCAAGTCGGAGCGGAAAGCCTATAACTTTTATAACCGCTCTACCAATCACAGTGAGTACAGTCCGTTCGTACTTAGGCAGCCAAGCTGAATCCATCGAGACCAGGCGACAAGCTGAAGGGTGAAGATCGAACGAGAGAATAGGTAGGTCACGTCGGTACTATAAGGTCACGTCGTTACTATTCCACTCCTTGCTTTTGAAGTGGGCGTCGAATCCCAAACCTCCAGAGGTGCACACTCAGTGAGTCTGATTCTTCATTTGACAAAGCAGATCAAAGTTCGGCCAACTTGGGCCTCCAAAACCGTAGATCCCCTGGTGTGGACACGCGTAATCATTTCAAGAAGCTCGCACTTCATTGGAAAAGCAAGAAGCCCAGAACCGGATAGCTCAAGTGACATCAGAGCACTCGGAGCGTCTGACCAGAGCCAGTACCTGAGCGATGCAGAGCGTGCGTCCTTGGGTTGGCCGTACGGACCCCAGGTTGAGCGGGATCCAATCAATCTGATTCTTGAAGACGGCAGTGATGGTTCCGTGCTGCTCCGGAGAGACCCACACGTGGCCTTCGGACCAGACGGACAACTGCCGGATCTCCTGCACTTTGGGGTGCGCGTCCGATGTCTCGTCTTTCATTGGAAGACCTCGAGGGTCGAAGACGCGGACGTCGCAGCCTGCGGGTTGCGAATGCATTTTCGTCTCGTGCTGGACAGTCCCAATCATCTTTTAGGACGAAGTACAAGGAAGTTGTAGAACTTGTCGTAAACCTGGACGGCTTACGCTTCTCGAGAGCGGGGAGATGTTGGTCGTCCTCTCACCGAGAGAATGGGGGACGGCGTTCAGAAAACGATGATCTGGGCTCCTTGCTCATCACTGTGAATGAGCATGCTGGTCGAAAGCAAACGGAATATATTCTGACGCAAACGAGTGTACAAAAGGCCAATTCGTCGTGCTATACGGAAGACTTCGCTTCCTGTTGAGATTCAGATCGCAATTAGGAAGGGAGAAGGAGTTGCCGACCCGATTTCAGAAGAGTTTAAGATTGTGCTGAGCCTACGATGGGTCAGAATACGATGGGTCAGAACACGTACTGAGACCTTTGCTAAATGTTTTGACGCTAGGATACTGATTCAACAACCAACGGACTGGCATCCTTCGTCCAGGCTCAGATCATCTTCGAGGTGACGTTTTTGAGAATGAGGAGGCAATCAACCCGTTCCTCAACATCAGCCCTGCTTTAGGGAGCTTAACAAGTTTTGGGAAGCATCAGACAGCCTAGTTGCTTACCAAGCAGATCGAGAATGCGCGCAAACTCGTACGCCAGCAAGCGCGAGTAGGATCTCTCCCGGAGAGAGCCATACAGGACGAGGATCTTTGGGGGCGTCGTGATGCGCTGGCCCCGCGGCTGGAAACCCTGCGCCGACTCCAATTCCAGGTCCTTGACCCAGTCCGAAGCTCTGTGCTGCTCCGACAGCCGGAACACTTTGTACGGGGATGCGGCTTCGGGGACTTCCTGCAAAAGGCTAGGGAAGGAGGTAACACTAGAGACCACACCCAAGTCATCAGTTGCTTTACAATCTTGTCCTGTTTCCTGGAAGAAGAAAATGTCTGTTCATCTCGGTTGGTTGGACATTGAGAAAAGGGCTCCAGAAACAAGAAAAGGATGATGACTCTGGTCCCTTGTTTGAGCGCTCATCGTGCTGAGAAACAACCAATTTTAAAGCGCCCAGACAGCGTTCTGACCGGGTCAGACAGGCATCTACTTTGCCCAACCTTTTCAGGGTGCCCCGGTGTGATAGGAGGGCCGAATGGGCTGCATGATAAAGCCAAACCCAGCGCAGAGATTGGAATGCAGGGGACGAATTTTGCCCGCCCTTCTGGAGCTCTCCCCATAAGCACGCGGAATGCAACTGAAGGCCGAGGCTGACTGCAAGATTGGCGTTGTGACTGCCCCATTCCAATCCTTACTTGCAGCCCTTACACAATCCTGTTGAAAACTTGCAACAAGATCCGAAAATCAAGTACAGCTCATATGATGCAAACCCAATTTCAAACCAATCCTGCTGTACTGCTATTAGTGGTGTCTCCTTAAATTTGACCTCTAACATCCTATTTGATGTCACCCACGGAAGAAGGCCAGACGGTGCAACAAGAGTGCAGCTGTGCAAACGCACAGATGGGCTCAGAGTCAGAAGCGCAACACCCAGCTTTTTTGCTTGATTGATGGGATTGAGTGGGCACACCAATCTTTAACGCTTGGCAGCCCTGGCTTGACCTACCGGAATGGGGGCTGCATCTGATGCTCCTCTTACGTCAACCTGAGGCGCAGCACCGTTGGCCTGCGACACTCCTGGGTCAAGCGGTGCTGCCGACCCCTCTGGCCGCTCCGCGCTTCTAGTCATGGCGAAGAGTGGGCGCAGCGAACAACTATTCTGGAGGGCAATTCTGCAAGGAGAGAGCCTCTGTCAGCTGAAGAAGCCTGCTTAAGGATGACATTATTGATTGGCTCAGAGCGGTCGCCAGGGCCCGAGTTCAAGATCATACTAAATGAGAGCCCCCAACAAAGACACAGCCTTATGCCCAGGCCTGGTATGTGATATTTGGATGGGTGGCTTCTGATCCGAAGTTTGGCTTGCGTGTATTTGGAAAGATTTGCACGCGTGTTCTGCACTTTTCCATACGTTTCCGCTTTGTGATGCGGCTTCGAAGTACAACCTTGGCAGGCAGGCGGCCACAATAAAGTGTTCCGAATACCGAAAAAACCCTATCATCCACGGACAAGCCTATGCTGGGGTCAACAGGCAGTTCTTGTAGCCCGTCCTCTTTGTTGAACACACCAGACTTTGTGCACCAGTCTCATCAGTAGGTGTGTCTCTGAAAGTTGCTAGCTTTCTACACGCTTGCTACACGCTGGCGCCATATCCAAAGTATTGATTCTTCTTGCACAGGATAGCGTTTACAAACCCAATGCACCCAATGCCGCTGCTAGAAATGGTCCTTTTGTTGTCCTCAGGAGTGACTCCCTCATGGGACTCCCTCCCACCGCGCGCGGCCGCCGGTGAGAAGGTTCAACTGATGCACTTCAAACCTTACGAATAGGAAGATCAGAAAGTCAAGTGGATTCTCAAGACAAAGATGGGTAAAATGATGAAGAGATTGCCATTGTTGCTATATGCTAGTCTTCACCGAAGAGCAGGCGGACAATAACAGTTGGCCAAGTTTTGACATGGCCTCGCTTCATGACAACATTCTCAGGGTATCCCGTCAGAAGTGCCTTCTCAATACAGTACCGCTCCAGTAACGTGCCTTTCAGAGCCCGCCGCCCCACCTTCCTCTTTCGTAACACAAGCTGCTGGAAGACGATCGTGACCGCTGTCCAATGCCAGCTACCTTGCAATCCACAAGCAACGATCTTTCCAGGGAACAAGGATTGCTTACCCTCGGATCTGACAGAGGCCAAGGTCACTAATGTTTCTTCGCGCTGAGGCTGCTCCGATTCTCAACGACGGAAATGCAATGGCGCTGCTGGCAGTGATCGCCATTCAAACGTGTGCCTCCTGGACTCCGAGGAGTCGGAGTCTGATAAGAATCAAGATACCCAGCTATAGGCTTCAGTAACACAGGCCCAGGGTGATCCCCTTGCGCATGGAGACACTTTTTTGGGTTCGAGGGCAGTTGGCTTGACACCGTTTCCCTACTGTTATATAGACCGGCGAATCATCCCGTGCACTCTCCAGCTTGAAACCGGGGGACTTGGACACAGAGCGGTATACCGGGTTGGAAGATTTGAGGTAGTGTGTCAAGGGTCTGGGACATGGACCGGGTTTCACCAGACATCGGCCTGCCGCCTGACCAAGGCATGCAGCCTCAGGGGCAAATGTTGCCGGCCAGAAAACAAAGAATGTGGTAGGCTTCTTGAGAATTGGAGGCATTCTAATCCACCCGAAGATGAGCATCCCTGATCTCTGACTGATGTGTCACTTTTCTACAGCAGCCTCACGCAAGCCGCACCCACCTTGGTGCCAGCTTCAAATCAGCGCAGACTTGAGTATACCACTCGGGGTTTTGGTGAATACTATCGAGCCTAACATCCAGCCATGGCGGAGGGCTGCGGTTGCGAGAAAGACACGTGCCACATCAGCATCCAGAACCCGCTGACGGCTCGCGACGCCCCAGGGGACCCGCACGAGGCGACCGAGCTGCAAACGGGGGTGCCCAGTCCCCATTGGTCGCGCCGTCTGATGCGCCATGCTTGCCCCAGAAATTGGTGGCAGAGATGGTGGGCACATTCGCAATCGTCTTTGCAGGTGAGGGGCTAGGGTGAAATTATAGGGCTGTAAAGCTTGTGAAATAAGTCAGATTCTGGGGGGTTCTAGAGTTTTGGGCAGTCTTGCGTTTGTGTTCCAAGTAGAGCTGGAATATCAGTGTGAGTTCTGGGCAACATCAGTCAAAGCTGGGCGCATTTGCATTGCATCAGCAGTTGAGGGGCTTTGAGATGACCCCAGGGTTCTGAAAAGAGAGAATTTTGAGGCGACTCTGGCAGAATTTGAATGATGGGCACATCTGCTTTTGGTCTTAGGCGAGGACTAGTTTCCCAGGACGCTCAGTGGGGGTGCCGGAGTCTGAGAGTTTTATGAAGGACAAGAGTTGCGTGCGTATATATGAATGTGTTATCAGTGAGGGCTCTGAGGGGCTCTTGCAAGAGACAAATCTGAGACTTTCCGAGGTTAGACTTACGAACTTTAAAGAAGTGGCGGAAAGTGTGTAGCGGGTTCAGGCCGTGGCCCTTCAAGCTTCTGGTTTGCTACAAATTGTGCGTCAATTGCTTTGTTTGCGTCCCTTTGCTTCTGGCTTGGTTTGAGGAGCCTATCGTTCCCAGGCTGCCAGTACATCTTCGTTAAGAGCATGGCGTCGTCCTAATACGGAACATCAAGAGGCGCAATGGGTCCTGACTTCTCAAACCACCGAGGAACTATTATCTCTGTGTCATCAACATTGAAAAGCCATAACTCAACTGCGACGGCAACAAAGTCTCCCAACCACCGAAACATACTGGGCAAGCAACCCTTTGTGCAGCGCTAAACTCTCCTTGCCCCTGGTCAAATAGCCACAGGGAAAACAAGTCCTCTAGCTCAACAATCATAATGGAGCGTCTCTACAAGCCCTGCCTGGCTGCCCAAGTGCTTTGTGGACTTTCCCAAACGACGATTTTGATTTCTTTGTCAGGCTGTGGGGCGGTCGTGGTCAACGCGCGCTCCCGGGCGCACACCTCAACCCCGCAGTCACGCTGGCCTTCGCGTGCGGGCGCCATTTCAGCTGGAAGATGGTGAGCTGGGGGCTCGTTCATGTATTGGCGCAAAACCCAGTGGACACCTTCCAGTGCAAAGGAACATATTCTATAGACTAAATAATAAGGAGAGCGAAAAATAAGCCCCCAAGCTAATAAAGGTTTACGTGCTCCGCACCCGCACCCACCCTTACCCCCTGCCTAACCCCACCCGTCCCCCCACTGTTTTCTACCGTCCACTGAGCTTATTGTGATGTTTCTACATCGCCTGGAACAAAGCATCCCGGTCTTAAGAAGTGGGTTTGTTGAAGTGAGAGGTTGCGGAAGCATGGGGTAGGTGTGTTTGTTGACGAGCGGATTCAGGACGGATCCTTCTGTGCATCCTGGGTTCCATTAGGAAAGAGCCTCCTGCGCAAAAGAGTATCATAGATTTCGCTGTTGACGTCTCTGGGGAAACTCGTTTGCCTTTGAGGTACCGCTTTTCCAAAGCAACTTCACAAACGGACAGGTTGTTCGTCACCATGTCTTTTGCTTCTTGTGTGTCCTTTGCTATTGGAGTCTGTGCAGGTCTTTCGTTGTTCCCCTGTATGCTCCTCGAAGTTCCGTCCTTGCACTGAACTCAGCACTCTCAGGTTTTGAACAAAGAATCGACGAGCCTCGAGATCAAAACCCCATTTCGAAGGAGTCTGTTTCTTGATTCAATCTGTTTCTCGTGCTGAAGGCCGTACTCGTCCAACTGACTGAAACAGAGTACGATTTGAAGTTCAAACGCCATTCACTTTCCCCCCTCGACCCCAGGTCCCTTTCTACTGGACGGCTCAGTTCGTATCTGCCGTCGCGGGCGCAGCCCTGATCCGCGGGATTCTGGGCTCGGAGAAAGCGCTCGGGGCGACGGTCCCAGCCGGCGCGGACTGGGAGTCGCTCCTACTGGAGATTGTCCTCACGTTCTTTTTGATGTTCGTGATCGCTGCGGTGGCTACGGACACGAGAGCCGTTGGAATGATGGCCGGAATTGCGGTAGGCTTAGTTTCTTTCCGCTCTTTGTGCTCTGGTCTGAACAACGAGCTACCTCAAACCTTTGAAGATATGGCTTAGTATTTCGAGAAGTGGTGACTGCACGAGAATGCCCGGGAACAACCATTGGACCATGGGTTAGTCGCACAGAGTAAATCTGAAAATCGGGTTCGATTTTCGAGGCTTTTTATCTTAATTCCAGAAACTATTTCTTTCTAGATCATTGAGGTGTCAGGGCTTGGGCAAGTCAGGTTGTGGAGGGTGAGGGCACTTGCTTGATTGTCTCCTTAATCTAGGTACAGTAAGCTTTAGGCATAGTGAGCTCCTACCCTAACACCAAAATCCGAGCCCTTAAAATCACCTGCTTCGCAACTCGGATCCACCCCAAACCTCCAGAGTAACCGCACCCGTCCCAGCCTGGTTAGCGTAGTACACCTAAAGCTTACCATACCTCAAATGTGAAGGTTTATGGCAATCGAGCTCAGGGATTCGGGCCTTCCGCATGCACAGCTCTGATATCAAAGCGTGTCTGCAAATGAGAAAGCTCGGCCGCTTTGACGGCTGATCTGAGGAACGGATCTTTCTTGGTTTGTCGTCGATCTTCACAGTTGGTTTTTAGTATAGTCGTTGGTTCTTAAGTGCAGCCGCACAGTGCTGAGCTTTCTTGTCTCTCCATTCCATGCTGGCTTTCTTCCCTCGGCCTTCTTTCGCTCGTCCTCTTCGCTTGTAGTCCAAACGCTTCAGGCTCTGGTTTCGACCTGTCGTTTCTAATCGATCTTCAAACCCAGTTTTCCTCTGGCCTCGCACCACTGATAAGCATTTCTCCTTGCAGATTGCCACTTTGTTTTGGGTGGCTTGGAGGGCCGAGAGGTTTTCTACTTCTCCGCTTTGCCATTTTGATTCCTGGCCTTTCCTTGTCTCTCTACCCCACTCGATGCACACTCCTGATCACCGCCCGCGCAAACGAGAAACACACTCTTCTTCACCACCCGCTCAGACGAGAATCGTAAGGCTTTCCTCTGGAAAACCGCTTCTTTTGGCGCTTCAACAGATCGGAGGGACGGTGGCCTTAGACGCTCTGTTCGGAGGCCCTGTGAGCGGCGCCTCTATGAATCCGGCCAGGTCGTTTGGCCCGGCTCTTGTAGCGCTGGTGAGAAAACAGGGCCCTCTGCTTTACACATAAATCCGGCCATATGTCAAAACCGTCCGGTCAATCTACTACCGGACCGTTCAGATTCTTTCGGCTTGCTTGGTAGGAGACATGGAGCACTTGAGACACGTGAGAAAAATTGCAGTTAACCAAAGCTTGGTCAATTTCAGGTTAAGTGGTTTTTACCGTCGAAAACCATACTTGAAGGGCAGGCAACGAAGTTGATTAGGAACAGAAGTTTCCTGTGAGATGGTCCTCTACGTTTTGGCGTTGCCGGGAAAGCAAGAACACAGAAGTTGGCAAGCGAGTCTGGCTGGGTTGCAAATAGCTGGCAATTGAGGAGTGCTGATTGGTTAAGAGCTTCCAAAGTTCGATGTTGACTGGGTGTTGCATCTTCCGGGTGCAAGTCGCCAGGTTCATCTACGTAATTAGCACTGTTGGGAGTCGTTGTGAGATTAAAGTCTTTGCTTGGCAGCCCTCTAGCTCGCATTACACAAATTATTTGCTCTTAACCATCTTTGCTTGAGAGCTCCTTAACCAGCGTTTCTATGGTAGAAGACCAGTTAACCAGAGGTTGACCAAGGTTGGTTTATTGCAAAGTGTCCCTGCGATCCGTTTCATTTGCTCGTCCGAAGGTCACCTGAATAGAACAGTAGCAATCAGCATTCGATTCCTTGTTTGTTTCCTGTCGTCTACGATCATCGTATAGTTGCAAATAACCGAAAAACGCCGAGCACTTTCCTTGGTCTGCGGGTCGGCATTATTTCTACGATTTCAACTTCCTTGAGGAATATCCGTCTGACGCTTGACGCACCATGTGCAACCATAGGTCGTTCGGCTCCATTTGTCGAGCTCTCGCTTGTTCACTTCACTTATGACAACTCCATTATTTCTCAAACCCGGTTTCTCTTTCAACCAGGAGTTCCGTGGCCTGTGGGTGTATTTGTGGGCCCGGCGGTGGGCGCAGTGTCCGCCATTTTTGTATACGGTTTTGTGCACCCAAAGGGAATGGAGGTGGCCAAAGGAGGGCACGGGTGTTGCGAGTGAAGAACCTCTCCACATGCAATGGAGCAAATGAGCTGGTTTTGTTCCACATATGTCGATCTATGAAGCGCTGTATAGATGTTGAGATTGATTATTCGAGAGAATGCGCAAACTGTCAGCACCTTGCTGTCAATCGCTATCTTGCGGAAAAGTCAAATTGGGTTTGGGTCAAGATAAGACGACAAGGTTAGATAGTGTGAAAGGGACGCGGGAGTTAGGATCGTTGCTGCTTGGCAGTGGGCCCCAGTCTAAGTAACATCGCCTCACACGGTTTATAACCATTTACATCTCTTTCTGGACGTCATCACCATTGACGAGATTCTTGGTAACTTTTATCAATGAGCATTCAAGTTCAAAGCGGCTTGCTGAGTCAAGTTCCAATACAAGGTACAATCTCTTTGCGAATGGTATGCTGCAGACAAGTTTATACATGCATGGTGCTAAGATAGCTAGTCGGCAAACTGCATATCATACATGCATGGCATGGCCGCCGGACTATACTTAATTTGCTTCCATTGGTGCATGTTGCAACACCTTGCACTTGGGTGCACGTTGAGCCACATGGGGACTCGAGTTCAACTTGTGTCACGGTGGGGCCTGTCATTATGCCAGGTCTGATATAATCTCTCATTTTAGTAAAGCTGGCGCATTAAACTTGCATACGGTTGCCATTAGATTGATGGAACATCGCGCCGCGGCCATGCAGGCAATTCCGCGCGTGTGAATATAAACTTGACGTACCTCCTGCGGCTGAGGCCTCGAAGGGGGACTCACCGTCATCTACTATACCGGGAATGTTGAACATGCTGGCACAATTGCAACCAGATGCATGTACGTTGACCTTTTATGTACTGATTCCAAACAAATTCGGAGGGGTTGTGTTGTTTTAGGTGGCCTCGATCGGTTATGCAGGGGGCTCAGGCTCCACGTCGACTGAGGACCGTGCCAGCGGAGGAACGCCTTATGTCAAAGTCAATGCTTAAAATCCCAACATCCCAATGAAAAGAAACAATAGGACTACACCTTATACGTGTCTGAGAGTGCGCAGCAAAGAAGCATTCAATGACCACCACCTACTGCCTCTCATGATAATTGAAAAATCACTAGATTATGCTACAGAATATCAGCTCCATCAAAATAGCAATTGTCCCTATCTTACAAAGCACTTAGCATTAATCGAGTGCCTACACGCGGCCAATTGCCTCCTGCAACGAAACTGCTCGCGGGCACACATGAAGCTTCTTGCAAATCAGCCTAGGGTCCATTACCGCGTCAAGACTCTGGAAGATGACAGGAGCGTACTCTGCAATCGACTCGGTGCACTGCAAGGGGAGACTTACAGAGTCAGCATGTATGCAGTGGACACCTATTGGCATTGACAAGCTGAAAAAGCAAGCTAGTTGAGACCTCGTCTGCCACTTTCGCCAACATACCGTTGAAGGCCTCAGTTGCACCAGGGCAAGCGGAGTGCACCAACTCAAACGAGGGTGACAACAAGGCTCTGAGAAGATGCTGATACAGGTGTTGGAATTTCAAGAAGGGTGACGCGGTCCATTTCGGACGATTTTAGATTCGGACGCGCAGATTCAATTTCAAATTCAAAAGATCTGATCACGTATATGGCTGTGCGAGCGCCTGTGAATCATGTGTCGCGCGCCCGTGCTACTCTCAATGCGACATCGAAAAGCCACGCTCGGAGGGCTGCAGACCTACTTATGAAAGTACAAAATCGGATCTCAAGTCAGAAACCAGGTTCGTCATGATTGAGCGCACCAGTCTTCCAAACATCCAGAATACCGGGCCTTTTTCGTCTTTGATGAGCAAAAATTTGGAAATCAGCAGCAATGGAGTGATTCGCACCTGCGCAGCCAGGTTGGGCATGCGGTTGCAGGTCTCCTCCAGGAACTGAATCACCTTCGCCTGCACATAGTCAACGACGAGGTTAAGCACGTGACTGTCTTCGTTGCCCGTCCTTTTGGGTCGAAAAACTGAATTGAGAAGCGTTCAGCGAGGAGATACCCGCTGACAACGGGCCAGTGTACTGGAATACTCAAATGGGTCCAGAACGGGTCTGAACGGGCGCTTAACAAACTGAGCAAACGCTCCCTATGTCCAGAGCAGGTCCCGGCTGAATCTTTACACTTCTGACAAATCCTGGATAGGTGTTTTTGGACCTAATTCCGCACCACAAGCTCCCTATCAACGTCTGAAATTTTTAACCGGCCTTAAGATCCAACATTTTCAAAAATGTTCGACGGCACCTTGATGACAATCCAGATCACCAAGCGCCAATCGCACCTCTCAGCAAACCACATCTAAGAACCCACCTCAAGTCACATCACGCCTCCTCAACTGGAGCTTAAACTGCTCCAACGTGAGGGTTCCAGCAACACAAGAGAATACTCAAGTAGGAGCATTCCCATAACGTTCTCAAGAAAGCAATAGCACTCCAACGCCCCACTAACGCTCGCTCAAAGGAAACGTTTGCGAGAAAACCTCGAAAGAAGTTCGAGGAATCACAAGCACCCGAAAGCTGCATCAAACTTTCACCTGCCTCTCAGGCTGCTCCAATTGAACGTGGCCTCAGCAAAACTTGCGGGGATTCGAAGGAGAACTATTTCCAGGACTGACATTCGAAACGACAAGCACCCGAAAGCCTCGGCTGACTCTGACCTGCGTCTCGGGCTGCTCCAGCGTAAACCACCACTGCACAACGGTCAGCAACATACAGAAAGGAACCAAAGCCGAATGATTCCGAGAACAATCTCGACGGCACGAAATAAAGCGGTAACACCCAGCTAAGACAAGCACCCAGATGCTGCACCGATTTCTAACCTGTGTCTCGGGTTGCTCCAGCTTAAATCTGACCTCCAGTACCGGCCCCAACAACACTCAGCACAACCCAAAGCAAACAAAAACGAATAAAAGCGTCCAAATCTCCGAACAGATTCAAAAACGACAACTACCGGATGCCCTGCTAAGACTCACCTGCGTCTCGGGCTGCTCCAGCTTGAACCTGAGCTCGAGCACCAGGAAATGGCACATGAGGCACTCGTCCTTGTTCGCAACGGGACCGCCCAGCTCGAAGGGGCAGAACGACAAGATGTGGCACAGCTCCGCGGGGGTGATTGTCTGCATGACCGCCAACAGCTGCGGCACGTACTCGTCGACGGCGGTGTCGCACTGGGGGAAAAATGGAGGGAAGAGGGTTTGAAAGCGAGTTTTACTGATAAGGAGGTGGACGGGTGGGGTTAGCATGGGGTTAACGTGGATTAGGGTGCGGGGCAAGTCATGTTATCTCTGAGAACCTCCTCGACAGTAGATCCATGAAAGATCCATTCTCCATGGTCACGCGTGTTGGGCCGCTGTTACAAGGCAAAAGGGCTGTGACGCACTACCTGGTTCAGAGAGTTTGCATGCCCAAAAGTCATCCAGTATAACCGGTCTGTCTCCGCCCTTTCTCTCTCTCTCCGCACTTTCAACATTGAAGTTAGCCGAGCAAGGTGCAGATGACCGCTTTTGAACCTCATCGCTGGTTACATCTCACTTGCAAAACGTGGTTTTTCCAAACTGTTCGAGACAATACGCCCCCCCTCAGTATACGGCAAAAAACACCTTGCCACAAATGATCTTGTGGCAAGTCAAGTGCAGCTCACCCAAGGCTATTATGCAATCACAGGTTGTGAAACAACCATTCTATCTCAAACCCTGTCGATCGAGGCAACACCAAGCAAGCAACGAAAACAAGGCAGAGACTGGTGGACTGTGTGGACTCACCTGCGCCCTAAGTTCCGGCTTCTTCACATGCAAGCAGGCCGTATGTGCGACCGTCATAATCTGGACCTGAGTCTGCAAAGGGACCGGAATGACGTCAGGATGTCTCTAGTACAAAGAGGCACTTTTACCAACTGAAACGGATGCACGGCCGTCCTCTTATACATAGGTCGGTTCACATATGCCTCAAAAAAATAACTCGTATGCACTGGGCGCAGTGCTGTAGATGAGCGGCACACACAATACGAGGATGGTGGAGCGAATGACGAACAACACTGCATGCTCGAGAACGAAGCTTGCAGCCTCAATTTGGCAAATCTTTGTTGTAGACCCCACTTTTGAAGCCCAGACAGCCCCAGAAATCAACATACCTCCCACAAAAACAGCGACAACAAGAACATATGTATGCAGATAGGCATCCCCTATCACCCTGCTGTGTTGAGCGAAGACATATATTTATTGCGAATTTTCTCCAATCAGGGAGAGAGAGGCCAAACGGACCTGGTTCGAGGCGAGGTATGCGATGAGCGAGGTGGCGGCGTATTGGCACAGCTGGCACTCCTCCTTGCCCGCCAGCACGTGCTTGGCAAGCGCAAAGAGGGGGGGCACCGGGCATACAGCGCCGCAGACTTTAGCGGGGGTGATCTCTGTGGCCATGATCTGGAAGAGCGCGGGAATGTACTCCTCCACTAGTTCGCGGCACTGTAGACAAGGATGAAAAGATGAAGCAACAGTTGCCGGAAGCCATGACTCTGGGATTGTTGAGCGCCTTCTTGACAGGGCCTTTCAGAGAGGCCTTTTTTCCGAGAGAGAAGACAAATATGACTTAGGTAATGAAACGGCAGGAACGAATATAAGGCAGTGCCAGTGGATCCCAGGGCAGTGCTCCTTGAGTAGAAGCAGCTTGGCATGGAAAGAGATATGGACGCTAGGTGCACTTAATCCAAGCAATTGGAGGCACCCACAAGGTGACACTCGGACGTCAAATGAAAGCTGCGGTGGCTGAAACAGCATCCAAAACTTCTGATAATATCATTCAAAAACCTGACGGGCAACGTCTCAACTGAAACCAAGACTTTGATGCAACCTACACAAGGACTTATGAATATCAAAACGTGTCCGATCAAAGCCAGCGTGGACCCACAACAAATCCAGGACACCCATCAACCTGTCACCTTACTGGTAAGCGAAAGATATTGCTTACCTTGGACACGAGCTGGGGATCGACGAGCTTGAGGCAGAGCTGACTTTCAGCAAGCGACACCACAGCGTTGATGTTGTCGGGGTCTGTCAGAACCACCTGAGCCTCCAGGATCAGCGTCTCACACGCCTCGCAGAGCTCAGTGCCCTCTAGGGGCGCTGATTGGATGGTCGCAGGGCGGAATCCTGCAGATTCAAACAGGATAAGGCAATCAGGTGACAGAAGCGCGGCATATCAGGAGCGCTTTGGTATCGTAGGCTCTTGCAACAGTTTCTTAAAGAGTTTGACAAGCGAGAGTTGGAAAATTGGCGCAGACTGATTCGAGCCGACTGACCATGACAACCACACGGGCAAAAAAATCTACTTGATCGACTCAAAGTTGAGCCGTAAAAGGACGCCTAAGATGAATGCTTTGGAATCGATCAGGCTTCAAACCACGATGGTTGTTTCAATCAGTTCCCCACCGAAATACGTGTGGGGCACTCCCATAGCTGCTGTCGATACTATTGACACCAAGGCCCTTCACAGATTCGGCACAACAGGAAAAGGGGCCAATCTAGAGGAGACTACATCAATTTTCTAACTTCAAGATGATTTATCTAATTGCAAACAGATTCAAAAAGGTGGTTCCTAATTGTGGTCGTCAGCTGCCACAAGGTGCTCCAATGACTGCCCTTTTGCCCTCAGCAGCCAGAAATCACGACCTTCAAGACCGCACCCCTAGAGACGGAACATTGCACAACTTGCAGACCATAGTTGAGATTACTCACCTGGTCCAACCATGTGCCTGCCCTCAGCAACTCCGCCCAACAAGACGATGCAGGTAAGAGCCAAGGCCATAAGGAGGCCAATCTTTGCAGCCATCCTGATGCAGATATGTACGGAGCTGACGATGTTTCCTTCCCTCTCCCTTCTTGGAGGTGGTAAAAGCCTACCGGTATTAGGCGCAAGCAAAAGCAGAAGCAAATGTCAAGAACAGCGCTGCACAACGGAGGAGCTCAGCTGGTTTTGACAACGGAACTGACACTCAGAAACATCTCGTGCTTAAGGACGGAGTATCCCATTCCACTTGTGTCAATCCAGCCCGGGTGGCAGCAGGAGAAGCTTGAAAGTTTTGCCGTGCAAAGCGCACCACCTTCACTGGCTTCAAGTTCAGTCACCTTCACTGTCTGTGTCACAAAGTGGAACGCACGCGCACAGCAGTGCATGGCCGTCTCTCTTCTGTCGCAAGTAGGTATTGAACATTCTCACAACATTGCATGAGAAGCTGCTATTTCATCCAGACGTGCTGTTCTGGCATTAAAATCTCTGCTTTCTGGAGGTGCAAGCATTGCTTGTGCTCACCGCCTGTAGTGCCACCTTCTGGGCATGGTTGCGGATGCGTAAACGCCTTTCCTGACGGCAACATGGCGGCATCTGGTGCCTGCCTCTTGAGAAGTTCAACGCTGCAAGGGCTGAGCAGCTGCAGATACAAACGTGTAAGCCCTCATGGTTCAGCCAACCCACAGCAGAGTCTTTTCCACATAGAGCGATTGAATAGCCTTCCTTACACCAAGTGCCAGGGACTCATATCAAAGCGATGGGGAGTGGATACAACTTCGTTTGGCAAGGAGCAGCTGCGGTTGAGGAGGGGGGGCCGCAGTGTAGTGGGGTGTCGAGCAGCTGCTGATGTGGAATATGCTCCCTCTGAGGTATGCGCACAATTCTGTTTCTCATAGCTTGAAGTCTGTCATCCCTGACGGAGTTTGTGCTGTCTTTCTCATGCTGTCCGATTGTATGTAACTTTTGCGATGCCACAAGGCGCGGGCCACAGTCTCGTCAGGCTTTCAAACATGAAGGGGCTTTGTAACGGCACAGCATTCAAGCTCCAACAAGTGAAGTGGCAGAGTCACCTGCTGCTCCGCTGGTTCCTGGAGAAAATGACCAGGCTCTTGGTGTTGCAATCTGTGGCGGTACTACTCAACCTGTTGACACACAGAAAGGCGTGGACACTCTGGGTCCCATATCGCTTACACGAAGAGCATCCGTTTGGCTTTCTCGGCCAGCGCGCGATGGTGTTTGGTGGTTGATTGCAAGCTTTACTGAGAAAAGAGTCAATGCTTGCAAACAAAATATCTACTTACCCGTTCTGGATTTTGTGACGCGGGGTGCCTTATGAATACTGGATCCCTGTATCATTAGTGCCACCATTTGTCACCCTCTATCGACCACTGAACAGGATAAAAATATTCACGTTTGGAGACAAGCCCCCATATTGATAAGCTGATTGGTGTCAAAGCCAACGTGTACCATAGACGCACGGAAGACTGCGAGCGCCTCAGGCTGGTTTTGAGATGGAGCCAGCAATTCTCACAGTCGCTAGTCCGCGCTGACTTGATTCTGAAAATAGTGGTATGTGCCGAGCTGATTCACATTCTCTCTGTCCTCACAGGAGCGGGCCCGAATTGCGCCATGCGAACAGGCCCCAACCCGTGAGGACCTCGTGAGCGGAAACTGGCTGGACAAAGCAGACCAGCAGGGGATGCTAGTCGCGGAACGGTTGGCGCTTGGGGCGCAAGACATCGAGGACGAGCTTCTCGCGCCGGAGCGGCTCACAGAAGACGAGATCGCGGAGTTCCACGAGGATCCGAACGTGGCGCTCATTCTGAACCCGGGGGGCGACCTGGTTGGGACGTACATAGGTTCGGAGCAAGCAGTTGCGTGGGTGAAGAGCCTCGACTCCGAGGCAGCGGTCACGTGGTTTTGGAACCGCTTAGAGGAGGACAACTACCGGCGGTTCATGGCGAAAGGGGGGGACTGGTGGAGGGGCGACGAGTGGGAAGAGAGACCCCCCCATTGGTACGAGTACCGGCGGAAGGATGGGAAGAGGGTGGTGTGGGGGCAAAAGAGACGGATAGAATCCCATTCAGTCGAAGAGTTTACCACGGATACACTGGAGCGAGTGGCACGATTTCTGGTGTTCCACGAAGAGGGGAAGGGATCGCTCGCGAGCCAACCGGAGGGCTCGGTGGGGCGGTATTTGCGGGACCGGATACTGGAGAGCAAGGCGTGTTGGCTCGTGGATGGGACGATAAGCCCGCCCGTGTCCGAACTAGAGGCGGGGGATGAAAAATGGCCTGAGTACATGCAGCGGAAGTGGAAGGAGTTCAAGGAGGGATTCATGGAGAACAAGTATGATGCGTGGAGGCAGGGGGTTGCGATTGATGATAGGATCGGGCAGCAGTACTATGTGCCAAAGAAGTTTGGCTGGAAGGGGCCGGTGCACAGGACCATGTAATTGTTTTTATATAAGATGCCAAGCGGAAGCAGGGACAGCAGGACCTGCTTAATATCGATAACACCAATCCTTGTAATGGTAGGTGAAGAGTGGTTGCGGTCTCCTTTAATCCGCCCGCCTGCTTGAGTCTGCACACGGGCTGGAATTGGATCAGCGTTTGCCATCTCGTGCAGATTGTCATGCTTTGCACCAAGGCTGAGCTCGATCCAATGATGAACGCATAAGTCTACTTCGATCAAATTCAGAATTATTAAAGCGGCCACGCCAAAGAACAGCAATGTGATGCATCATACAACTGGTGGCAAGCTGCAGCTCAACGTATGCTGCTCGATGATACACACGCTTAGCATATACGCGCAGATTCATGCAAATGCAAACTGTTTGAGTAGTGTAAACATTTATAAGCATGTGCAACAAGCCTTGAGTCGCCATGCAGACCTACAATTCAGAATCATGAGAGCTCAACACTGCCAGCAATGGTCATTATCAGTGTTGATTACACAGAGGAGTCATGATCGAATGCACTTGCGGATATGATATATACGTGCTTCTTAAGTGACCTCCAGCGTAAGCCATGTATGGTTACCATGCAAGGGGTAAGCGCGAGTGCTTCCATGATCGTGAATGGTACAAGTTTGGAGCCATGGCATTTGACCTTGATTATTTCGGAAGCTGCCCGAAGGGCCAAGTCTTGCAACTGCGACCCAATCGCGGCTGACAAAAAAACGTGGACCGACAGCAACCGACTCCAACCTTTCTTCCGCGTCTAATACTCACTTAACACCTCTCCAATTCTACTTCGCCTTTCCACCGCTTTCGGGTCTTCCTGGAAACCTAGCGCTTCCATCAGCTTAACTACCGTGGTTATGCCTAGTTCGTAGTTTTCCCTCCGACTCCGCCGTAGTAACCCGTCTAGAACCGCCTTGTCCGGAACAAAACCCCTGTTCACCATATCTTGAAGCGTCACCAGGGCTTTGGCGGGATTCCGGTTGATGACGTGGGCTGACACCAGCAACTCCCAGGAGCGCTTGTTGGAAGTTACGCCGGACGCCTCCATCAACTCAAACGTGCGAACGGTCGCAGCGACCTGGATCAAGAGAGACGACGATAAATGTGAGGGAAAAGTTTTGAAATTTAGCTAACGTCCGTGTGACCTGAAACCCGAGACGAACCGTCTAAGGGACAGGCGGGTTACCTTGATGAACTAAAGAAGTAAGAGGCCGACGCCTGGGTCGCATTTTGTTTGTATTGTGCTGTTTGAGAGAGGATTCTGCGCCAATTACACAGGTTATCTCAGAAGTAGCATCAGCACCCGAAGGAAGAAACGTCAGCTCCAGCGGGTTTCAGAATGCTCGCAAGTCAGGAGCCATCAGCTTTTCAGTATCACAAGATTGGCTCAAACAACTTCCACAGGTTCCCGTTTCCGCGCCAACACAGTATATATCTTTCAAGCTCAGACGCCTCACAATATCAAACCTTCTAGCCACTCGAGTACCTCGCCCAGAGTTTTCCCTGCTCGAAAAAGCCCGCTAAGCTTCCCGGTCTCAACTGGCGCGCCTGGTCACATCCGTCCAGAAGCAATCTGTAGAACTACGTGCTTGACTTCACAAGCACTTAGCCAACACATTAACTCGCTAAGGATCCCCCAGCCCGAAAGCCCCGCTAAGCTTCCCCAACCTCACCTGGCGCGCCTGCCCACATCCATCCAGAAGCGCTCTGTGAACCTATGTGCTTGACTCCACACCCACTTAGCCAAGACAGCATCTCGCTAACACTCTCTCCGTCCAGAAAGCCCGCTAAGCTTCCCCGCCTCACCTGGCGCGCCTGCCCGCAGCCGTCCAGGATCGCGTTGTACGAGTGCACGTCCGGCTCTAGTTTGAACGTCCGCTGGATCTCGTCGAAGGTCTGGAAAGCCCGGCTCATGTCGCGCACGTTGACGCAGCCCTGGATGATGCAGTTGAGGCCCAGGAGGGGCACCCGCTGACCCGCGTCGTGCATCACGGTCAGCACGTAGTACGCCTGAAGGGTTAAGAATTGGGTTTAGCGTCCGACAGCAACTGCGCATTGTGAATAACCCGTAACAAGCTATTTGAGTAGGCCTGTAGACAAGCGGGAATTAGGACCAAATCTTAAAAGCTGCAACCCCATGAAAGGCACCCGCTGCCCCGCCTCATGCATCACGGTCAGCACGTAGTACGCCTGCAAGAATTTACTGCGGGTTAAGCGCAAGGTTAAGGAGCAGGAATTTGGTGTCAGCTTCTCAGAAGTGGAGGCCCAGGAGAGGAACCCGCTGCCCAGCGTCGTGCATCACGGTCAGCACGTAGTGCGCCTGCAAGGGTTAGGGATGCCTTTAGCGTCGACAAAGAGGGGTTTTGTTGTCGAGAAAGAATTCAGGCTTTGCCAACTCTGAGGCGTCCTGGAAGAGGCGCGCGGTGATTAAGCCCAAGGTTACACGTCAGATTAAGCGTATGGTTGTAAAGCTGAAGATCTGGCTTTCAGCGTCTCAGTGGTGAGCCCAAACGAGGCCTGCCTTGCCTCGAATGCACGCAACCTGGCAACGCACGCCCAGCGATACCAGCACGAACATTGCCCACGTAGGTGATTCCGAAGTGCAGTGAAGTTGGGAAAGGCTTGGAAAGTGTCGGGGTGAATTAAGAAATACATGGTGAAATGCGAACATGAGGCCCAGAGGGGCACTGGCTGGCCCGCCCCGGCGTGGGAAGCAGCCTGCGATCCGCCTGGCTCGCCCGAAGCAAACGGAACCGGCAGCTCGAGTAGCACGAGATCGTTGTATCAGGGATGGCACACGAAACGCCTCCAAACGGGAACGCAGGGCCTACTGATGCGTCTGACCAGGAAATGTCTACAGCCGCACGTTTGACCGGCCCTTTCAAGAACAGGCTTATACGACCCCAAGAAAGAGCCTGATTGCCGCAGCTCGGGCTGCTTTAAAAGACTCTCACGCATGTGCGTACAATCACTGCTAGTGCGAGACGCAGTCGGTTTGTGGGAAGACGCTGGACGCGTGCACCCGAAACGGAAGCAGGGACTCAATTCCTCCGGGGAGGGCGGGTATGCAGAATAGGGACCAAGATTCCTGACCTCCGGAAACTTTCTCGATCTGGGGAGCGATGACGGGCCCGAACATAGAATCTGAGCCCTCAGTTTGCATCGAACGACGCTCGGCTGCCTACTAAAGAACCATTGGTCGCCTCGGGGGGCATTTCAAAGACAGGCTCAAACCCCCTACCGCAAGTTCCTGAGATCACGTTGACTTGTACCGGGCGCACTGAGATTTGACGCAGCCTTCAAGAAGGGGTACGGCACAGGTAAACTACTACCCCCTACAGTAGCTTCCTGAGATCAGGAACGTCCCGAGATCCGGAACCTGAGATCCAGTTCTGGTCCCTATTCTCCATACCCGCCCTCCCGGGGTCGGTTCTTGCACTCCGTGCGTCAAAAACGGGCCAAACACCAGCGGAACGAGGCACGGTAACGATTAGTGCAAGGCGGAAAGGTGGAATGCGCGCGCACCTTGTCCAGGGCTTTGAGCCGCCGGCTGAGCCTGGCAATGAGCCACTTGTACGACTTAGCGGGGTCCAAAACCAGGTCCGCCTCCTCGGGATCCATCTCTGCTAGCCGGGGCCCCAAACTTTCCTGCAAGGGAAGCATAGGAGACTCTGGATTGTCCGTCGAAACTGGCAACTCCTAGGTATTTTCAGAGCGTAGCGGTCTAAAGCAGGCACCCAAAAGACAGGCGGGGTTGGAATGATGGTAGAAGAGGGTATGGATACAGAGCGTGCACACTCTGATCGAAAGTTCTTGTGCCTGGCAACTCAACCTTCGAAAGTTCGTTCACTCAGCAACAATGAAGCCAATCAGTTTTGCCCTTTTTTCTTCCTTTCTAACTTCATCGATACTCCTTTACCTGCTTCTGTTTGTTGGTACAGTCCTCCGCCTTCTGAACCTGACTTGCAATCTGCCCCCAACCTGCGTGGATCTCTGAACGCAATGCCTTGTCTTCGATAGACATTTCTCGTACCAACCTGTACTCAAACCGAACCTTTCCTCCTCACCTCTAGTTGCGCCAGTTCCTGAAACAGGCGCTCCAGAGGAATCCCCCCCTGCGACGGCCTCGGCACCGTAAGCGCGTGCAGCCGCGCCAGGTGCGCCGCGGGGCTCGGCTCGCCCACCGCCTTCAAGAGTCCCGCCCATGCTAGTTGCATCAGGTCGACGTCCCCGCGCCGCGCAGCCGTGTGCAGTGCCGCCGTGAGAGTGCCCTCGTCCAACACGTGGCTGCGCTTGTGGAGCAGGTTTATACACAGGGCGGCGGTCTTGGCGTCGTCCTGGTCGATGCACGCCGTTAGCACCTGGAAGGACAAAAGTTGTTAGATTCCTCGGTTAAGTGTTTCAGACTCTGGGTTTTGGTAAGACTGTGCTTGTGGAGCGGTTTATACAGAGGGAGACGGTCTTGGCGGCGCCTGGTTGATGCACGCCGTTAAGACCTGCAAAGACAAGCAAACCCTTCGACTCTGTTTTTCACACCAAGCCCTCGGACTTCGCAGTTTGGCTGCGCTTGTGGAGCAAGCTATGGACAGAGAGAGGAGGTCTTGGCGCTGTCCTGATCGATGCACGCCTTTACTACCTGCGAACAAATTTCACCAGGTTTGGATACAGGGTTTCAGGGACCAAAATCTGGGATTTCTAGTTTTCAGCGCGTGTGGAGCAAACTCAAACCGAGAGAGCGGTCTTGACCTCGTCCTGGTCGGTGCACGCCGTTCGAAACTGCAGAAGCGTATTGAGGCTAAAATATCCTTGATTGACTATGTTCGGGGTCCCTGCCCCAAATTCAGACTGCAGCGCCTTTCACCTCCCGCACCATAAACGCCTAGAACGTCAAGCAAGGTTTCTTTCTGAGCGAAGACACGGGCTCATACTTAGCTCCCACAAAGAGTTCCAAAGTTTTCCGACCCCGAAATCTAGGTAGAACCAATCCTGAATTTCCTCACCTCCTGCATCACAAAGGTCTTGATCTTGACGTCCTAGGGACGCATCACTTTGAGCAGCCAGCCAGGTAATCCACTTTGCTCCCTTCGGAGCCCCGAACACTCATGGCCCATAACTCACAATAGGCAAATCGCCAGATGCGCAATAACGAGAACAGTCAAACGCAGAAGCGCGTGAGGCCCCTCACCTCTTGCACCATGAACGTCTTGATGGCGATGTCCTGCGCGAGCATCACTTTGAGCAGCGCCCCCGCCTCCTCTGTCCGCTTGGACCCCTCCCCGATCGACCGGATGTGAGATATAAGCACTTCCTGCAGCGTGCGCGGGGGCGGCATCAACCTGCATGGAGCAGATTAACGGTTCGAGTGGCGCATTTTCCACGTCCGGCGACGCACGATTTGTACTTGGGCGGCGCCTGGACCGCGCTTTCGAGTGGACTTATGGCTTGACCGTTTCCAGGTTGCACGATGATCTAGCGCCGTCACATACCACCTAGTGCCGACCAGAGGCTTTGGTGATGCATTCGCCCACCTGAACTTTGTAAATGGAAAGACACGAACCGGCAAAAAAGTGCACAAGGGTGCGCTTGCGTTTTCTTGCAGCGTCCAGGGGCCCTCCGCATCAGCCTGCACCAACCGGCGCATGCCAAAGACCACCAGCGTCTCATATGCTTGGAAGATCGTGCGCTTCTGAGCCACACAGGGCGCCTCAACCCCCAAACGGACGACATTCGGAAAAGCGCAATAAGCCCAAAGAGTATTCAACGGAAGATTCAAGTCCGCTTATGTACGAAAAAGATGACCGACTTTCGTGTGGCAGATCGGATGCCTGCATGACACAATGAAGCGTTTCTCCACTATCGAAGCGAATAATAGACGATATTGTCCTCACCCCTTGGCAAGCATCTCGGTGACGTAGCGGTGCGCAGTCATCGAGTACTTGCCCCACGAGCAAACGAGCGCCGCCGTGTTATATGTGTCGTGGTCCGGCGCCACCCCTAGTTCTTGCATCTCGTCCACCAACTGCAACGAATGAGAAGTCAATGTGAGGACAAGTCTCGATGAAGCCGTTTGAACATATCCCGGAATGACTGCTTCTACATCACAAATAATCCGGAAGCTCGGCAAGGATTCTAAACAACCGGACTCCGAGAACGTCTTGAGGAAAAAAGGTTTTAGAGACTGATAGTTAAACGACAATTTTGAGCAATCGGCTCTGACAGAGATACAGGCAGAGGAATCTTCAAAAATGGGGACCCAAGAGGTAAGGGGCTCGAAACGCAATTGTGATTGCAGGACGATTTTTTTCACAATCTGCGAATCCAGTATGAACAACAACTGCTGCCATCAGGCAACAAAGCTGCGGACAACAAAGTCCAAATGCTGATGTCACCTCAGTTGCCGCCTTGGCGTTGGCGAACTCGTCTTGGAGGGCAACCTTCAGGAGGGTGTTGTAATGAAGGCAACTGGGGACGATGCCATGCTTGCGCATCTCTTCGTGCAGTCGCAGGCACCGGTTTAGGTCAGCCTGGTGTCAACAGAGAACAACTAGGTTAAATATAACAGAAGGTGACACAGACCCTCGTTGGGCAGCCGCGAGAACCAGTCATGTCTGCTTGGCATTAACAAGAAACAATTTGGCACCACACACTCCCAGAGGTGTCTTGCGAACCGATTGTCACGATGCCCAACCGCCAGTCTACCTTTTGTCAAGAGTCTGCTGAGGCTGATGGCCTTGTCACGAACCTTGTTGCAAACTTACCTTCGAGTGCAAAAACGCCAGGAGTACCGACGTGTACATTTTCCCAGTCAGCCGGTCCGAAACCTTTTCGTACTCGGACTGGCACCAGTACTTGTACGTGCTGAACTCCTTTGGCACCTCCTCGTACTGCCCCATCGCGAGCAGCTTCTCCAAGTAATCCTCCACCATCGAAACCGTCCGGAACTTTGGCGAGGGCGCACTGTTTTTGGGCTTCACACCCCCCTTTGCCGCCGGTGTCTCCGGCCGCCACGGGCTCGTGAACTTCTCCCCCGCTTCGGCCGCCGCCGCCACTTGGAACTTATCAGGCCACCGATACTCCGCTAGAAACGGGGCACCGTTGTGTCCCGCGTTGCGGCGTTCCGCCAGCTCCCGCAGACGGTACGCCTCTAGTTCTTCCCGCGAGGTCTCCAGAAACTTGTCCAAGCGCGGGTCTACTTGCGTCCCGTAGCAATCCCTTGCCTTGAGCCCATCGTTCGCGTCGATCTCGACCCAATGAACCTTCCCCCGCCGAGCCTCCGCTTTTGATGACATTCGGGGCTCTTCTGCATGTCGGTGAGCTGCCGCGTCACCAGACGAGCTCGCAAAGCTGTGGCTTTCCTTCCGAGACTTGGCGAAATATTCTTCCGAAGTGATGGGACTAGGAGGGGCGCTCGGAGCGTCATCAAGCCCAGTCCACCCCGCACCATTACCAGCTGTTGGTGGCTGAACCCCAAACCTTTTCGGCTTTTCCGCAAGCGCAGCTTTCGCCCAACTCCTACCACCCCCGCCATCAACCGCACTGCCGCGACTCCTTGTCCTGCCATCAATGCTGCCGTTCTCAAACGTGTCGCTGTTCTCGGAGGTCGCGTACGCATACTCCTGACAAGCGGGTGCTGTCGCTGCAAGCCCCGTGAACTGCCGAACTTGAGAAAGAGCTGAAGGTCGTGGCCTTGGTGCATGGAAACCAAGAAATGAAAGACTCCCGTTCGCGGGGTGTGAAGTGGCGCCAGTGTGGCCATGTGCAAAGTCCTCCGAAATGGAGCCCTGATTTAACGGTCCTAAGGAGCTGAAAACCTGTGGCAGCAGTTGGGAAAGGACCCTCAGGCTGTGCTCTTGCAGGGCGAGGGAGCGCCTCGCGAGCTCCGCGCTGGGCCCCGCCATTCTGATTGTGCCTGTTCAATTGGGCTCCTGCGAGGTACGCGACTTAAGTTAGAGCAAGACAGATCTCGCTCGCTGGATCTCAACCTTTACCGGTTCAACCGTCTTTCTCGGTGCCCTGTACCTCGATCATTACCAGATTCAGCATCAGTGCTTACTTCTAGTTGTCTCCTGTAGCCGTCAACTATCAATCATCGACGGTTCAAATCAGCGTGAGATCTGGTGTCGGTTGAAATATCTACAAATTTTAGCGCCATATTTGCAGAGTGCACTAGGTACCCAGCTTGCGAGGAAGGAAGGAGCAAGCTGCAAGGGAGGAGCACGGGAGGAAGGTGAAGGAAGGAGAAGCTTTCATCAAAACTCAAATGCGGGACGTGCTTGCTTGACAGAAGACGTCTGCGGGGCTCTTCGTAGAGGCAAATTGAAGTGCAACGGGTAGCGTGTTTTGACACCGAACGCAGTAGCAAATAGCCAAGAGGTATTGTGAGCTCAATGTGGCGGTTCGCCGTTGACCAAATCTGATTTTGATAGAAGCTCCTGTTAGCTGCTTTACATGCGTTGCAGCCATACGCTAGGGTTGCCTGCTGAGTGATTGCTAACAGGTGATCAATTTAAGAGACTCTGCATACTGTCCTTTCGCAGGAGGCCAAGCGAGGGTTACCCAAATATGCCCAGATTGATTGAAGTGCTCCTAAAGTTCCAGTCACAGGCAAGCAGGAAAGTGTGACAGAGTGATTAAGGCATCAACATGACGCTGGCAGGTGATGGGGTTTGCATTAGCCAGCGCATGAGCCAGGTGCAACTGGAAACCCCCAAGCAGAGGCAGCAAGTTGGAGGAATTGAGAGCCAGGCTGTGCAATCAAGAGAACAATCCGGCAAAGCGACCTGGGGCCTTGATGACAACAGCCAGGACCTCCTTTGTAGTCAGGACTTCTTCTGGTATGTCAGCCACCACATACATGAAAAAGCCAGATGAGGATGATGTTCTGGAAGGCGTTCCTCGGAAAACATTGTGAAGCCTTGCAGAACCCAATCAGAGTTAGCATCACTACACTGCGATGAGAAACAATCTCCCTTGACAACCTGAAAAGAAGGCGCTGGTTGCTGCTTAGCAGAAAGTCTTGTTGTGACCAGAGCAGTCAGCAACCTGCAATCAACGCACTGCAACAAGGGCAGAATGATTCAATTGATCCGCTGATTCCCAGCTCAAATGCAAGTACAATCATTTGATAGGCAGATATAGCAGCCCAAACTGAGAGCGGCAATCTGACCGGGCATCTGGACGCAAGTTCTGGACCGGTACCTTCCTAACAGCAAGGGCTTTTACTATGCAGCACTCCTGACTTCATCACCCCCGTCGAGCAGCAGTTCAACATAGACCTGAGCAGCAAGAAGGAGAACAAGGTCAGCTGCCCCTACATCGATAGCAGGACCGAAAATGTCAATCAGCATGCATTTGACGCCTAAATTTCATGAACATACGCATCCAACGGGGTTTTTTGCTGAGTACATCATAAACAAGGAGAAGCCTCTGATGTTATATCAACTGAAATACAATCACTGGGTTGTTTTAAACAGAGAATCCCCTCAAACTATGCGGATGCACGACGTAACTCTTAAGTCCCAAAAGCCACATGTGTTTTGTATTTCCTCAACAGGAGAATGTACGGCCACAAAGGTCGCCAGTCCAGTTCTCCCCTATGCGGAGCAAGCGGCCTCGGCCAGGTAAGTCGTGAATACAAGCAAAAGTGATTCCGCCTTGCGCAAAGGGATGCTCGGTTACATCCTCACGATTCCACTCCCATCTTCTTACAGCTTGGTGACTAGGTTGACTATCATTTTGGGTATGTCTCAATGGGTATGGTTTTAATCACCACAAAGCCAGCCCTGTGGTCCCTTCAACATCGGTCACCTGCACTCCGACGGCTTTGTCTGATGAAAGAATAAGTGCCAAATTAAGCCTGGTTTTGACGAGCGCGCGACTGCGCTTCAGCCCTCACTCGCGAGCCGTGGTTTCAATGAACGGTCCAAACTGTGGCTGAAACTCTGACAAACCCATTGCACTTTGCTCACCGCGCCCCCATTCTTTGCAGATCTGCCCCCTCGCGTCCCCTCTTCCTGGTCCCAACCAGAGCCCGAAACCAGCTCCCAACCTCTCCCCTCTGAGACCAATGACATGAGCCAAGACCCCCCTCCTGAGAGCCAGGACAATGAAATGGAACACTCATTTCACTTCGACCTGGGGGGGTCCAGTCAAGGGCTCCCAGGACCCCCCGACGACGCCACCTCGGGCGACAAAATGGTCACCTCGTCTGCGGGGGGGAGGGCGGACTTCGCCGGCTTGACTGCGGAGTTGCAGGCTCGGGAAAAGGAAAGGGTTTTGGGAGGGGCTGAACCTGGGTCAGAGAAACTGAGCCAAGAAGGGTTTAGAATATCGAAGCCAAGCAAGCCCCCCGCACAGCGGCAGCCTCTTTTCCATGCTGGAAGTGTGGGGGTGGCAAAGGCAGCCCCCACTCCAAAATTCAACAGTGGGGGGAGCACTCAATTCAGCCAGCCCCGCCCAAGCCCATTCACTCCAAGTGCAAGCGCTTTCCGAGGGGGGGCGCCCCGCCCTGGGGGGTCTACGGGGCGGCTGAACCAAGCGTCAGCAAAAGCACGGTTAGGGTCTCAGTTGATAACCAATAACCCAGCGGCGGATAGGAACAAAAAGGCGCCGCTTACGCTCTGGGGGGGCAGCCAGGCTGCGAACCGAGCCCCGACGGCTCCCCCTGCGGAAGAAGTCAGGGTCCCAAATGCAAGCCAGTTTATTCCAAACGGGGCGACAAAATCCTCGAGGATCTCGCAGCTGGCGGTGATGAAGAACAAGGTTCAGTCCCAGCCGTGTGTGCGGAACCCTTTCTTAGTGGAGGCGGGCGAAACGGAGCCGGGAAGCAACAAGACTAAGTTTACTGGTGAGTCTATCTGATAATGGGAATTTGCTGGCTGCTCGAGATTGCTGATTGCTAAACAGTTGTGCTTCTGGGGCGAAGCCCAAACCTTCAACCGGACAAGAAGCATATCCGAATTGCTGCAGGACACAGCGTGTGCTTTCTTCAAGGCCGCTGTTCTCCTCTTTGCAGATGTCCCAATGAGCAGCCCCGCCTCCAGATATAAGGAGGACTTTCACGAGATCAAGGTGGGCATCGACTTGTACTAAATTGTCCCCGATTGCGCTTCGAGAAACAAGCCAGATCCTTGATGAAAACCCGTTGCAACGCAAAAAGGTTTCTGATTGGGGTATTTGTCGTTGAAGCTGGGAGCTTTGGAAGAAATAGGGCATCTGTTTAGCATACGCCACTCAATTGCTTATGCCTTGGGGTGAGAGGTTCAGAACAAAGCACGAAGTGTGCAGCTCAAGCCGGGCTTCTGATCTCGTCGTCTTTGATGAATCTGCTCAATGATTTCATAAAAGGTCGGTTTCCTCTCTCTGTCCTTGACTCTTATGCCTGGGCTTGCAACCCGTGCAGGAGATAGGCCGGGGCAACTTCAGCCGCGTTTACAAGGTGCGGAGGCGCCTTGACGGCTGCCTGTACGCTATGAAGCGGTCCATGAAGCCAATTTACCAGGACTCAGAGAAGTAAGGCCGCCCGCCCTCCAGTTCAGGGCACGCATTCTGTTGGCTCGTATCAAAATCCAACCAGGGATCCCTTACAACGGCAAGGCCGTTTATTACTGTAGGAGGCCAACGTCGATCAGTCCTTCCGGGCGTTTGTTGAAAGGATTGAACAGATTATGAACAATCAAGGCAACGTAGTACGTGCATGGTGCGACTTTTCTCTCCGAGGAATTGCTTGTAAAAAAGGAACCTTGCAGAGCTTGACTCGTCATCTTTGACATTGCAGGAAGGTGGCGCTTATGGAGGTGCAGGGCCTTGCTGCAGCAGGTAAGCAGACCTTCGTTTCTGCGTGCTTTCTACTGTATCTCGACGCCCTCTCTGCAAATGTCATTGTTCCAAATCTTCTGCAGCACGGATATGATCAAGTCTATGCATTTTGAACGGAGCGAAGCAGGAAACTTGCTAATCCATGATCGATTCCGGCAGTCCAAAGTCTCCAGCACTTCGGTAATCATGTTTGTGGCACACGGAACTGATCACAAGGTTGGAGCAGATCACGAGATCGCGTTGTAGATGCGAAGGATACTCCGGACAGGTTCTTATACTCGTCATCGTCTACAATCTGTACTCTTTTCAAGGTTTTGTAAATGCTGAAGCGAGACTACATTTTGACTTTGAGTCTCCATCCAAGCCGTTCAAAATCTGTTGCGTTCCTACAGGGAGCCATCCCCACATCGTGCGCTACTACAACGCCTGGTTCGAGAGCGACTACCTGTACATACAAACGGAGCTCTGCGAGCGGAGCCTTGAGGTCAAAGAGGGCGACACGCAGCCCATGGCAGAGCTCGAGTTGGTCGCCGTGATGCAGCAGGTAAAGCGGTGGACTCCGTAGCTTTCTTCAGAAGGTGTAGGATTGACCTTGCTTTCCTGTCGTGAATCTTAGCGCTCGCTTTAGGAGATGACACTTCCTTATGCGACATGGGGTTCCGTATTAACTTATTAGCTCGTCTTATCGTCAATTGCTGGGTCTGGCTTTAACGAAGAGAAGTGTGTGGTTCAGTCGGCGATGGTATTACTCACCGCTTGCTTACCACGTCTAAAAAGTTGCCACGTGTCACATAGCGGAAGGCTTGCAGCGCCAGCACACGCGGGGAAACAGTCCGCTTAGCAAGCTCACTGCGTTGTGCCACGTGGCAGATGGCGGAAGCACTACAACACCTCCACGCGCGCGGCATCGCCCACTTGGACCTGAAGCCGGACAACATCTACGTGTCGGACGGTTCGTACAAGCTGGGCGACTTCGGACGGGCGGTGCGGGCCGACTCGGTCGGGGTCGAAGAAGGGGACAGTAGGTGAGCGCTTGTGCTCAGCACTGACAGCTTCAAGATACTTGTTGGCTTTCATAGAACTGTTGAGGGGAGCCGAAGTTGTTACTTGAGTTGAGCACTGTGTTCAGCTGGATGTGGGGTCACATGAAGCCGGCTTGTTGGGTATGATTTGCAGAATGTCCCTCCCTTTTGGTGTTGCTTTGTGCTGGGCGACGGTAATGAGCCCGGACTTCGTCTTGGACTCGGAACAGAGGAGCCAAGCGAGCAAACTCGCGCTAGCTAGCGAACCGCAATCACAACGTTCTGCGCTTGAGGCTATTGCCAACTTGAGCTGACGCCCTTTCCTTACCGCCCAGGTACATGCCTCAGGAGATTCTGAACAGCGCCTCGAAGTGCGACCTCACGAAGGTTGATCTTTTCTCGCTTGGCGCGACCTTGTACGAGCTCGCGCGCGCAGAGCCGTTGCCGAAAGCAGGGAGCGAGTACCACCAGATCCGACACGGCGATCTGGCGCCAATGCCGCTTGTCTCCCCGCATTTCACGGATCTTGTCAGGGTGAGAACGCCCCACAAAATAAGAATTGAACGTGGGACGGGATCTATTTGCTATCCTTCTGACGTGCCTTCTAAAACAAGACGGGATGCGGACTTTTGTCAATATACTCTGCAAGTCGTTGCGTCATTCTTGTTGGGCTGTCGCGTGTCAGGGCTCTCACGCATGACTTCGTCGCGCTTGTCAAATATACGGTAGAGGTGCGTCACATCTGTTCCGTTTTCAATCACAATGAGTGCACGCACGATTCCGGTGCTGCACGACCTGTCTCAAACCAATGACCCCCGTCTCTCTGCAGTCGTTACTGCATATAGACCCAGCCGCACGACCAAGCGCCGCAAGCATTCTGGAGCACGCTTCGCATCTGCGAAAGTCAACTTATACTTGAGGAATACAACACTGAGATTCTCTTGTAGCAAGGTGTCTGTCCGTCGAGTTGGAGAATAGGTCTTTGGTTCTTACGTTGTACGTTCAGGGCTGTTGGGGGACAAAACCGGTCCATAACACCTTCTGCCGGGACACGTCCCGGCGGCCTGCTTCCGGCAAGGCTGCAAGAGTGAGATGATGTGCAGCCGCTTGCTGCACGCTTCTAACCTGTTTCTTTAGCATGGAAGCCAATCCGATCATCACGTCTGCCCACGCATCTTGCTTGCAAGGTCTTTGCCGCTCTTTGACAGACGAGCATGGCACCTTGTGTGACAGATTGAGCGTTGATCGTCTGGAACGCTTGCGACAGTCCATTGCATTGGGAGATTCACTATATTTCGTACATCTGTGCCCTACATTGGTACGCTAAGCCGTATTTGCAAGTGGACAAGCACCGCAGCCAAGTTGCGGATCCATGTTTTATTTCGCGATCGTTGCAAAGCTGGCATGGGTTGTTCACAAAGCTTGGCCGTGACCAAACAATTTTTTGGCCTATAAAGGATATGTATGGACATACCATTGGTCGGATCTTATTCACGCCGGGCACTCCGACTCTATGATGGCACCTAATAATCGCCAATAAGATGATCAGATCTGCAGGAAATAACGAGCCAACGGTGCGCCTGCTAGAGCGGAGAAGGCATGGAGTTCCCAAATCCCGCGCCGGTCGATCAAATTGTAGTGCATGATTCGCTACCGCACCAACCTCCAAGGAGGATTATATGAGATTCTGTCAATCTTTAATTTCGAGCATGCATGCCAGCTAGTCAGATCTCATGATCCACCCGGCGTCATACCTCGCGCGTGACACTTGAAGGTGCAGGCGTGCCCTACAAAGATTGTCAAGCTACCATGCCCTGTATTAGGTATACGTTGCGTGCCACAGCCTGCATAACGAGCCAGGCCGAATTGCAAATGTGCCTCTAGGAATGCTGATGCCTCTTACAGATGTAAACGGCGCGATCCAACAGTTATTTCGTCGATCCGCAACCCTAAGCTTTGACACTGCCCTACTCTGACAAACTACGTCAGTCCATCTATCAACCGAGTAACTTTCGGCTCGTCATTTAGATAGCTGCACTCTCCTACCAATCTTGAGAAGATTGCGTGCGTCCTTTTATGAGGCCTAATTCTGAGCGGGGTCCGCCTTACAATGGACTTTGTGGGTTGCCCAATGGAGCTTCTGGTGCTCGTTGCTGCAGGGAAAAGCCTAGGGTCACGTGCCCGGTTGCAACAAGGATCTGTCGGTTCATCTCTCTTGCAAGCTGTTGGTGAGCTCCTCCGCAGAGACTGTGGGTATCCGGATAGCAAAGCGTGATGCCAAGCATTTGCAATAGGTTTGATGCCCTTGAAACGTCTTTGTAAGACTGTCAAAGATCTCTAAGTACGAGAAGAATGAAGATCCATTCATTCAGAGCTCGTCAAGATCAGAGATTCAGAAATCAAATGATCCTGAGAGGTAATAGACGATCTCATTCTTTCGATTGACGGCTCTTTGGTTGATTCGAAAAGAAAAGTAAAGCGGAGCTGATACAAGATGCTGCCTATCAAACACTAGTAATTGTTTCAGGATCTTGCGGATCAAGCAGCATCGAAGGCGCAGAGATCAACTGCTTGGTCAGCTCAACGCAGCCAGAATAGAGCAGCGAAGCCATGGCGCAAGCGAATCTTGCCTGCAATAGCGCGCCACGTGGCAGCGCTCGCACCTGCTAAAACGCTTCCCAACGACGGGCTCGCGGCCGGCCGCGCACAGTGTCCAAGAACACACAACAGGGATCCAGAACCTGCCATCATAACGGTCTCCTGTCATCTTCCAGTTTTCGAAGTACTCGTTAGCAACCGGTATAACGACACCTTGCAATCTCTTCACAAAACCAGACCAGGGGTGCACTTCCGCGCTGTTGATCTTCTGGTTGTGGGGCCGGAATCCTTCAAGCGCGTTGTGGGCGCGGAGCTTCTCCGCTGTCGGCTCGAAGGCCAGCAAGCTGAACAGAACCAGGTTGCAGCGGAACGCCGGGGAATCGCCCCGCTGCGACGCTTTTGAGAACTCTCCGAGGGATGATTGTTTGTAAGGAGCTGCCAGCAATGTCAAGAGGCCCCGTTCAATCGCCCAGATCTGGCTATCCGTAAGCGAGACTGCCAGACTCGCCAGGTAGAGCCGGAGTTTTTGTGCAAGATCAGTCTCAATCGCGGCGAGAAAGGCGGGCCGAAGCAGGGCTTGGGAATCGCTGGAATAAGTCCGGCTGCGTTGGGAAGTCTCTAATGCTGTCCCGGGACGCCTTGGACGCGCGCGCAAAGTTGCCAGGCATCCTAGAGAGGCGACGGCGACCATCTTCGAGATCTCCAAGTCTTCGTGTCGCCCACTTCCCGGCAGGCGGCGTGCAGCCAGAACGGCCTGACGGTACAATCTGCAAAAGACAAAGTGGGCACCGCTCTCCCTCAAGCAGCCCTCAGAAAAGACTTTGCTCGAGCTGAGAACCGACAGGGCGTCGATGCTTCGGCGATAGAGATAGGATCCGGGACTCGCTAAGGTCCTATCCGAAATATCCAAACCCTGCTTTCGGATCCGCCAACAAATAGGAGCCTCCTTGTTGCTTGTCTAACGAAGTTCCGCCTTTCCGAAATAGTTGAATAGTTCCAAGAAGCTGTCAAGTGCAGCGGGAGTCTGCTTCGCACATGAGAACCGAAAGTTGCTGTCAACATTGTTTTCTAAGTAGTTCAAGTACGGGCCGGGGCGGAAAGACTCGTTGCAAAGCTTGCCCATATTGCATCTTCTTCTGACGTTCGCTACTCATCGTTCCATCATCAGCTCGTGCGGCTGTCAATCACGCACCCGACAGAAGGATATCTGCAGGCCAAGATTGGGCAGGTGAAGTTCTCTTCCCGGCAGCACGTTACCGGCCGGGGCCGCGCCGGCGTCGGACGTGCATGCCAGGTGTCAACACATTTTCGACGCGGCTTTCCGCCTGGCTCCCTGAAGCGCCGGTACGAGGGCTGCCCTGACCCTCGTTATAGGGCTTCTCGAAGGTGAAGACAGCCCTGACCGATAAGAAACACAGGAAGGTTTGGCCGCTACCCCGGTTTGATAACCAGACATTGGTGTACTTCCGTGACCGATAACCGCGTTATAGCCATGCTAAAAACGCGGTTACTGCTCGATTCTGGTTATTGGACATTTAACCAGCTTCAAACCAGCCCGTGTCCGACTACGATTAACCGCCAAAAATCCTCTGTGAATGTAACGAGGGCGTCCAATACAGGCCCGTCAACGGCCGCGAGGGCCTTGGCGTTCGCTTGCTTCAGGTCGACTCTCAATGATTCTCTCTTCGTCTTTTTCTCTCCACGAAGTGCTCGTGAGCGAAGTCTGCAGCCACGTGGCATTTTGCCCCGCGCTGCCTTGAATTCAGCGTGCCTTGGGCTAGCCTCGGCGCTAACCTCGGAGCCTGTCCTCGACGGCGCTGTTCTCGAAGGTCGAACGTGCGGCCAACCTGTCTAGGTTGGACGGCCTGCTCACCGCTCCTACAATGCCGCCAAACGAGGCTGGTTGAATCCTTCGAAACGGCAAAGCCTGTTGGAGGGATTTTGCAGAACAGGAAACAGCTTCTGCTTTAACCTTTAACGACGGAGTCGAGTGTGAGTCTGCGGTGCACACGGACTCGAAGATGCAGTAGACTCGGCTACGTAAGGCTCTTGGCAGACCGTTAGGCTCAGCGTTACTCAGGACTCGGGGTTGCTGAGACTTTGTTTACAGCATGCTTCCACAAACTCTTAGTCTCACTGTTTCACTTTCGCTCTGTCAAGCTCCGATCACGCTTCTCGAAGCGCACCGCAAAGCAACCATCTTTTGCTGTGACTATGGCGCCGATCACAGGCCGTTCGGCCCCAACAGCCGGCCCTTTCGTCATCTTCTTCTTGATGGTGACGACGCTCGGTCTGGCGGCTGCTCAGCCGTACACGTATATCGTCCAGCCAGGCGTGGTAAGTAGATAAACACCGCTTTGCATCTGCTGTTCATAAACATGTGGACGCGCACCCAAAAATGCTCTTGGATGTGTGAGAAGCGTTCTACTGCCCACGCTGAGCCAAGAGGAAAAGTGAAAGGTAGCTTTGCTCACCTCGAATCCAAGGGGAAGCTATCGTGGGCTGCTGGCATCCTCTTACCTCAAGGAACTTGAATTGATCAACAACTCTCAATGCTGCAAGACGGGTTAGCTGGTTACGAGAGGATTTGTAATCGAGTTGTTGGCGCCTACTTGTGATCTGTCATCACTACAGCGAGGTCGCTTCTTGGACTAGGAGAGAACCGATCAGAAACTATAGTACCTCCTCTTGTTCGAGATGTGAGATTCTTCAAAAGCAGCCACTGATTCATATTTCATCGGTTTTAGATTGCATTTCGTCTGAAGTTGACGCGAGAAACTGAAGTCCCTCGATGACCTTTCCTTTCAAAGCTGGTCGAGACGTTGTGACTATCGAAGGTCAGAACTAAAATCGCCACTTGCCAGAAAATAATGAATCGGCATTGGCTTGCTTTTTCCCAACTTCACTAAGTCATACAAAAACCCGAGCGTCCTTCGCCAGACTTGTTCCAAGGCCTCTTTCGAGACCTTCTTCGGCCAAAGATGGAAGGCCTTCAAGCACAGGGAGGATTGGCAGTCTCCCCCCCCTTCTCCCCCCCCTCTCTCCCCCCCGGGAAGGGAGACTATATTCTCCTCCG